ACTCCTAACCGACCCCCTAAGCCCTTAATCTAATAACTAATTAATTCCCAAAGCCCCAACTAAAAATTAAAATGTCAAAAACTGGCAGCATCTACGGACCCCAAATCTCTTTGAACTAAACTCAAAAAGCCGATTTACATTATTTAATCAAGTTACCAACTTCAATACATGAGGCTCTAGTTCTTCCTATTTCATTTTTAGGGTCGTTACACCATCAAAGGCGTATCTTGCACATCTAAGATATTTCTGAATTATCTTTAGCTCATTTGTGCTATTTTTATCCACATATGACATTTATACAAGGACATAGAATAAATATGGCTTGAGTTAATTGTAGGAACAGGCATCGCACACATGCCATAATGCCAAAGTCGACCTACCACAACTCACCAGATGTAACTAGTAATCAATAAAAGCTTGCCACACACTCTTAAAAACTTTTTATATTCAAACATATTCATATGGACACTCAAAAACACATTAATGAATTTTTCATTTGACATATGTCTAGAAAATACATTAAATTTTGATCCTCATACATAAAAGTATGGCACACACTCTGAAGCACATCGGTTAATGACTTTTTATTGGTAACATGGTTAGAAACTATAGAATGCAAGTGGAACATTCATCTCTGATAATTTTCATCAGTTTCAATGAAGTTCTAGACACCTGAAAGTAACAATAATATCAAAATAACGATCATGGTTCCCAGTGCACAAACTCACATCCATTAAAATCATAAACAAGTGATATAATAAGTAAATAACCTCAGAACCATTTTGATGGCCATTATCTTTCATGGATTCCTTTGGTGAAAAACCTTCTTCTGATCCTTCTGCAACCGGGGATGGTGGCTGAGCTGGGGGAAGATAAATCACTTTCAACTTGCACTCATCAACAACACGTCCTTCTGCCTTATTGAACTACAAAGAGATCATTACAATTCAGCAAACTAAAACTTAAGTTTAATACAGAAACTATAGTTGATCCAACTTCTTTTTATCTTATTCAATCGTCAACACTAAGTTTAGAATCAAACACTAGCTGGACAGTAAAATATGCAACGGTTCCACATTTCTAGTCTTGACAAACTAAGAAGGACAAAAAAGAATGGTACTGTTACCATTTCTTGAGTAATATCTTTTGCAGCGACACCAGGAGTTGCAACTACACTCTGAAGTAGAAACTTGTCCTTGCATTGCATGTCAGAAGGGGCCTCCTTCTGAGCTTGCATTGTAACTACAAAAGATGCATAAACAAACACTATTCACCAACCATGACATTTTAATAGCATAATCACAACGCTTATTTCAAAATTCAATCTACATTTTCTTTAACTTTTCATCCTCAAAATTCAAAACATCTTAGATGACTTCACTTTCCAAAAAATCATTTTTTTCAATATTTTTGGGCTAATAATATTATTTGTCTCAATTTTTGATAAACTCTAATTTTAGTCCTTGTGCATCCAACTAAGCTCATTTAACCTTCAATTACTTGAAATGCGCACTGTTGATACTTTGCTTGTGAAAATTCACAATTTTTCCATGATTACCATATGTTCCACTGTTACTCTAAAGGAACCAAACATACACATTTCAATCAATCGACGATTAAATATGTTTTAAACATCACAAGGACTAAATTAAGAATATTTTCAGTGATTCAAAGTACTATTATCACTATTTTTAGTGGACAAAATTATAATATGTACCTATAACTTCAGAAGTCGATCGGGGCAACACAATCCCTGTATTGGGTCGAACACAATACTTTTTGGGGTTTGTCGTTTTGACCTGAAAACAGTATATACAACAATTCGAAGTTGCTAATTCGAAAATTCAACAAGAAAATATAATTACATAATTAATATTACCTTGAAAGCGACATGCTCTTCAGTATTATTTGACAAATGAATCGAGCAACAGATCTGCTTCTTCAACTCGACTAATCAAACACATTATACACAGAAATGCATCAAAAAAAAAAATACGAAAAAATAGTGCAAAAAAACAGGAAAAAAGGGTATGAGAAACTGAGGAAACTAACAGGAAAATTTGAGCTCAAGGGGTTCAATTTTCAGAAGCTCTCCACTGCTCATTTTCTTCTGAAAGCACAAAAAGGTGAATCAAAAGGGGAAAAATCGATACTTTTTTTTCGTCTGGTAATTTACAATGTAATAAAATTTGGGGGTGATCCGTATATATCTCTTCTGATTCTGTATTTGTGAGGGAAAAACCCCAATTCACAAAGCTTTTTGAAGTGGACTCTATTTACCTTTTAGTAAAAATATGGGGAGTGATCCGTAAATACTTACTTCTTCTTTTTAGTTTACATATATTTCAAAATATTTGTTTCCTTTTTCAAGTCTCGAATTTACAATAATTAGAAAATATTTACTTTTTAAAAAATTTAGAATCTATATATATTACGGAAAAAGATTAAAAATGCCCTTAAATTATGTAAATTAAACAAAAATATCCACAGTTAATAACTTGGTTTAAAGATGTCAATATTTTGGTCCAAAAATATTTCTGAGATTATGTAAAATTAAACAAAAATGTAAAATGTCCACCGTTAATACTTTGGTTCAAAGATGTCTTTATTGTCAATACTTTGGTCCAAAAAATGCTTCTATCATTAATACTTTGGTCCAAAAAGAAAAAGTTTAGCTTTCACGGGTGGCTTGTTGGCGATCATATATAGTAGGTTTGCTTAGCTGCGACTTGCCTAATTATTAAATTTTAAATAAAAATTTATGTGTGAGCTTGTTCATATTGTTGATCTCAAATTCGAATAAAAGAGAAGGGTTGTGGTACATTAACATGCAAAGTAAAATTAACCAAAACCAATAATATGTCAAATACTTAATTTGTCTCCAGCAGCTCAAATTCAAATCATTGTCTTTACCAGTCCATTCAATTTTGTCTATTTATCTGAAACATGATCGAATCCAACTTGCTTGGAATTAAGGCGTAGTTATTATTGTTATTCTACGAAGAACAAACTCTAGATACATATACTTCACACCACACCCCTGTCTATTCCAATTCTCATAATATATAAGCATATTCGTCCATAGGTCAAATCGGATATCTAGTTTGTATTTAGCCATAGATACAACAACATGCATAAAAATTGAAAGCGTAGGAGCAAAACTATACCAAAATGTAAAGAGAACTGATTCTTTAACTTGAATTTTGTCTTTTTGTCGGTAAACAGGTTGCCTTATTTAACATAGTTACTCTTTTTTATTTAAAATCAATTGACAACAGCAAGAAACTTCAAAAAAAAAGATTGAAATTCTTCATTTGGTAACTCATGCTCTTGACTTTGATACTAATATTTGTTTTTTCAGCTCTTCAATTGGTTGTCCAAGTCCTTCTATCACCTATAAAACATGATCATTTAGGTTCTGTTTGCAGCAACAATTAACAGTACAACAATATTTTTGTCATACTAACCGATGTTGTGTCCTTAAGAGCAGCTACCAATGCCTGGATTTTCTGTGCCATAAACATCGTATCGATGTACTTTAGTACAGAGGAAGAACCAGGAAGACAAAAAAAAATCAACTTACTGATTTTGTGTCATTGACAACACTTTGAAGTGTTAGGATCTTCTGTAGAACTGGCTGTCCAAAAGTATCATCTCTTGATGGAGTCACATCATAGACATCCTTAATACTTACATTATCTGCCTGCATTTACAAAGCTCAAGATCAGACCATTGACTCTCAAAAGACCACAAGATTCAAAAGTCTTCGTTACTTTTTTAAAATTCGTGTCAAGTCAAAACCAGACAAACAAGTTGAAATGGATGGAGTATTTACTACTGTGACATAGGCCTAACAAATTTGTTAGTAAGTTATCTTAGATGTTCTCTACTTAATGATGTTTTTTGAAACTAAATTTGCTTACAGTAACACCACCAAAGGAATCTTTTGAGGCAGAACAATTCTGTTCATCATCGATTTTCTCCTCTTCGGCTTCAAGCATTGCCTATACAAAAATGTGACATCTTACTCAACATTTTCAGACATGTCATGATATACCAAACATCATTAAATTTGAATCAACATCGCAACAGGTTAAAACCTGAAGTATAGTTGTAACTGAAGGGTCATTCCACGGTCCTTTATCGCTAAAGAGGCAGCCTCCATAGTCGGAACATGTGCAGTTGCCACCGAGGAAAGTTGGAAGATTACTGCAGTAGCAATTTCATGCATCAGAAGAAAACAACTCCTACATCAACCTTGGATACGCGTATTTGCATCCATTCATCAGGTGCTAAACATAAAATGGAAAAATGTTGAGCTGATTAATTTTTTACCTTGGATCAATAACTTCTAGTAAGGCCTTCGTGTAGTTGCTCCCGAGCACCTGTAATTGTGGTGTATGTCTTAAAGTATAATTCCCTTCCCTAGTTGGCCTAGATTAGTCGAGAAACATAGAGGGAGGGTGACGGAGAAGGAAAAGAAAGTACTTGAATCTTTGCTAGGGTGCGTTGATCAAGAAATGCCTTGATTGCTTTCCACAGAACTTTGAAACCAGATCCAGCATTAATGATAAAAAGGCGATGCAACGTCTGTAAAAATGCAAGTTGATGATTAGCAAATATTAGTTTTCTTGCGTTTAGTCGTTCTTCTTTTACCATAGTTTAATCTATTATCATGTGCATAACAGTACTATGCCAATATATATTTGCTCCTTCTTCCCACTTTCTTATAGGGAGCTAAACTAACTGAAAAAGCTGGTATTTCAAGAAGAGAAAGAGTAGACTTGCATCACCTAGCATACCTCTGGATAATAGTGACTGTCTATCTTCTGAATTTCCAGAAAGAGAAGCCTTGCAGGCTTCGAAAAACTTGAAACTCCCTGTCAAAGAAGATTGGTTTGTTTCGTTTAGAGATTCTTCGAAGCATAAAGAATCTAAGCATCCATTTGTTATCAGCAATGCAGAATTCTTGCAAGTGCTGAGCATCTATGTATGGAACTTTGTCATCAAAGAAGTTCGATTTTCTTAAAAAGTTTATTTGATGACACTCTTACCACTGACATAGTGAAACAACAAGTCTACCATTTATAATATGTGAAACTCATAACAGGAGAATGAATGTTGAATTTAGTAAAAAACCATACAATATGCCAATTCACATGAAAATACAACTTAAAGAAACTATCCTGTGGACGTATATTGATACCTATAAATGAAGACTCGATAGATCATGCCAGAGATTTGTCCAATGACCAGACACGATGAGAGATCTAAACTTGCTATGTGTAGTGGGACGACTCAAGCATCTTATGGTTGCGTTGAGCAAATTTATTTCAATGTGTTAACCAAGATCAAATCATTCTATCAAGATAGGTCAGGGACAGAGAATGCTATGCAGCACGAACACAATGTCATTCATACCTTCTATCTAAGATCATGTCCTCGGTAATCCCTATACAGAAGGATAGGAGAGACAACACTCAACTATCTAACTAACCTTCAACCATAATCCATGTCATCCATACCTCCTAATCTAAGATCATGTCCTCGGTAATATTCTTATCAACACAAATAAAGTGTGAATATGCTTGTCAAATAAGTGAAAGATTAAACAGTAGGCAAACAGATTTTTACCACATCCTTCACATCCACTATGCTGACGGTGGAAGCTATATGTTTCTTTGCAGCAAGTGAACATGCAGGGAATCTCCAGTTCAATGTTTTCTCTTGTTCAGACACATGATATTTCACAAATCTCTCAATAGTAGTTACTTCAAGTAGCCTAGTGAGATTTACCATTCCAATTCTTTCAATGTAAATTGGTCGACCATATCTATCTACTCCGTGAAATCCATGAGGATAACACTGTTTAACCTCATTGAATTCCTCAAACTTGAATTCCTGCAGCATCATTCAACCCAAAAATGAACAAAGAATCAAAGGACTGTCGAACATAAAGCAAGTTTTCAATCAAGAAGTAAGATTAGTACTAAAAACACCAGATAATAACAAAAACAACAGATAGTAAGAGAACATGAGAAACTACAACAAAACAATATAATAATCGAGGTACAAGAAATCGAAGGACAAGAGTCTACTAACAATATTGTCTTTCAATCACCTTGGAAATTTCATCCACATGAAACTCCTCTCGCCACTTCAAATAGTTCAAATACATGTTCTTTGATTTTGGAAGATCATAATCCCTCATTCTAAGAAATCTGTATTCACATAAAGTAACATCAAACTCAATTTATCTTTCTCTTTTCTAACTAGAGTCTGACATGGAGTGGAAGCAGTGACTAAATTTACCAGCGAAACATTACCTTAAAAGTGTATGGTAGTCATTGTTTTTATCTATCTGCTGACCCTCAAGAAAAAGCAACTCACGAAATGAATCAACAATTTGTTCATCCTTAGGATCATGTGATCCTCCAAGAATTGTTTGCAAATCTTTGCTCTTTCTCTTAAATGGCAAAGACATTATGGTTTTCGCGGTTCTTGATTTGATAGACCTCTTGTGCTCTTTTGTTGGAGGTAAATGCCAAAAAGTTTCTATGGGAGGATGGAGAATTTTGGCCTTCTGTTTAGTAGACTCTCCTTCTTTATTAGAACTTGAAGATTGTCTGCTTCCTTTAATGCCAGCGGAAATTAGTATTTCCTTAAACGTTTCTTTGGATGTACGCATGTGTAGCTAGTTAAACTGTAAACAAACAACAGAATCAAGTTTTAGTTTGCGAATCATGAAATTAAAGCACAAGTTCATATCTCAATCCCTGGCTATAGTTGGGATCAGCAATGTGAATTCTCAATACTCTGTATCAAAAGATAATCTAACACTACTAGAGGTTTCACTAATACACTTTAGTGGTTATATCTTTAACATTACGAAGATCAGTCTTCCATAAGCACACTAGTTTTCAATTTTCCTCGTGTTCTATCTTTTGCTAGATCTTACGAGATAACTTCATTCCTCGTAAATTTAGGTCTACCTCATTCTATCCTCTATGTGAGCTACTTACATCTTCTAACAAATATGATCATTTCTTATCTTGTCTAATCTTGTAACACCGCATATTCATCCTAACATTTGCATCTCTACGATCACTCATCTCGTGGATATTGGCTTTAGAGGGGCAACATTCATTTCCATACAACATTAAGGGGAGGGGGGTTGCAACTAATATCAAATCTAAACATCATAGAACATTATATCATACACAATAACACAATGTAAGAAGAAATAAAAAGTTCTTTTTTTTGTATTAAGTGTAAATCAAACAATAATCCTAATCAAATATATGGTTAAAAGAATGAAAGTACAATCAAAAATCAAGAATTGGAAAAAGGTAAAATAAATATGATGAAAAGAGAGAAACTTGCCAATAAATTTTGGAAAATTAAAAAAGAAGAATCCCAAAAGAGAATGAATTGATTGAAGAATGAAGAAAAGATAAATTGAGAGTTATTGAAAGGAATGAACTTTTTATGAGTATATGGAATCAAATACTTTGTAATTTTCGAATGTTTTAATGTCAAGAAAACCCCGGGAAACCTTAGTAGCTAACTAAAGATTAACTGTTACTCCCAACTTATAAGTAATAAATACCACTCCCTCCATTCGTGAGGTAGTTTGACTCGGCACGTAGTTTAAGAAAAAAAATAAGATTTTTAAAACTTGTGGTCCAAAATGAATGATAGAAATTTGTACAGCTGTAAATCATTTCATTAGGATGAAAATAGACATTCTATAGTTAAATTATTACTTAATATAGAAATGTGTCATTCTTTTTTAAACTGACTAAAAATGAAAGTAAGTCACATAAATTGGAACGGAGGGAGTAGTACTTAACAGTTAACTCCATTTCGATTTGTTTGGCCCATTTTCATTTTTAGTCTGCTTTAAAAAGAGATTCTTTTCTTTTTTATTAATTTTTTAATTTCAACTTTTCACCTGACATATTTAAGACTACTAGATTAATCGATATATTTGACATACTTTTAATTTAAGATCACAAAATTTGAAAGTTCCTTTATTTTCTTAAACTCTGTGTAAATTAAAATATGTCAAACATATTGAAATGGGAGAAAGTATTACAACAACAACAAACAAAAAAGAAAGTAAAATTTAGGTTACAAAAAAAGCACAAAATACCTTTTCTCAATCCGAGAGAAATGCATATTCTGATTGTGAAACGTGTTTTACACTAAGGAAAGTAGGAATGTGTGTGTTTCTTTAGCTACTTGTATTTGAGAAAATGATGGTAAAAGAAAGTGTAAGGGTAGGTTCAAAATAATCCCTTATATAGGCGTTTAGCCTCGACATAAATTGTTCATACTATTTTGATAAGTCGCTAATTTGCTCATTTTGTGATAGGGCCCAGTCACCTCCTTTCTTCCCGATCGGAACAAAGACCATTACTTTGGTCTATCGAAAGTAGATAATAAACATCCAATGTTAAATTTAGTAGGATTTGATATGTTTTTTTTTCTTTGATATTTCTAGTTTAAAAAGTTCTTTTTTCCCCCACAATCTCTTTAGTCTAACTAATAGATTTGTTAAATATTTTACGAAAATTAAAAATGCTCACTTTTGACAAAATTAAAAGAGCAAAATTACTTTGAATCTACCCAAAACATAAGGAACTATTTTTGTTTATTTTCTCCAATTTGGACTTAAGGCCCAATTTTAGTTTTAAAGTGGATCGTGCATATTGGATCATCAGAAACCAATTAAGCTTCGGCCCATCAAAATAGTTAAATTTGGGTCACAATTATTTTAAAGATACAAATTTAACTTTTTTCTTTGGCAACAATTTACAAATATTTTAAATACAATTACTGTTCATGTAATCTTTAAAGCGGTAAAAACCTCTCTTATTCGGTCACCGAGAAGTCGGACGACTCTTCAGTAACCCAGGGTGATCCGACCCCTTCGACGCTTTAGTTTTATTTAAATAATAGTAAGTATAAAGGAACCAAAATTTAACTATTCACCAAATTTAGATGCTTTAACTTTGTATTTTAAATATCGAATAAAATATGAGGTGCTAACCAATACAATGATTAAGTTGGTACATTGATTAATTAATTTTCGCGAAAACATCTCTCATGCAATTAGATTTCTCTATAACAATCATTCTCTATAATCATATTTCACCATAACTTTTTCATATTATGTTATATATTTTTTTATAACATCATTCTTTTATAACAGTCAAAATATAAATTCGAATAAATGAACATTGTTAATCTGTTATAGAGAAGTTTTACTGTATATGTTGTAGATGAAAAATAAAAGTATTTCTTTTCAATTTTCATGGCTTCATATCCTAATTAGTTTTTTAGAAGAAAATTTTAACTCATGATCACAATCATTGCAATAGCCATCATATTTTGTTATCTTGTTTTTGACCAAGACAAGTTTGTTGTACATATATAATTGTTCTTTGGTCTATTAACATATATATGTAATAATAATGGGGTTGTATTTAATTATGGGGACCAAATAATTGCTTGACAAAGTTCATAAATTGGTGGAAAAGAGTAGTGTTGAGTGTGATCCCTTAACAAATTTAGAACCGCAGAAATCTTCAATTATTGTTGGTTAAGAATTCAATGATTTAGAAGTTTAATCTATCGACATATTGCGTGTTGAATTTTATATTTCATCGGTTTCATATTATTTGACTTTTGTTGACCTGAAACACCTTTTAAGAATGTTTTAGTTAGAAGGAGTATTGTGTTAAACTAATCTTGTTAATGATGCTTTGAAATTTTAAATGTGACTATTTATATTTTATGTAGTTATTTATTACTAAAGGCAGTATAATTAAGCAGTGACATAGTCAAAAATTTCATGAATGGTGTTTAAACTTTATATAGCACAATAAAAAAAAGTAACTTGAACATCAAAATTGTGCAGACACAAGAAATTGAACTTGGACGTCGTGGAGGCATACCTTTGCCACTGCACTACAGGTCTTTATTGGTTTTGAGTGTGTTCAAAATACAACGATATAAAATAAGATTTAACTTATATATGTATTGTAATTTTCTACTGAAAAGAATTCAACTAGTCACGATGATATTGTAGCTCCGCCTCTGAGCATGAGAAAGAATTAGTAATAAAACGCTTTTGATCGGAGTCAAATGAAATAAAAGAAATGGAGTATAATAAAGTACCATAATAGTTGAAAGTTCCTTTCATTATTTACCTATGAAGTACTAATTCACAACATATTTTAATTAAAATTGTGTTAAATATAGAGATAGATTCAGAATTTTAAATCATCAATTTCATAGTATTAATTTGAGACAAAATGAATAGGTACACCAATATTCCATTGTCATATATGAACTTTCCTAGTATAAATAGAGAAAATATTTACCCTGATCGCCCCAATCCCCTCATCTCCGCGACACTCTTGTTGTATTTATTCATTTATACATATTTATCTAAATTATATATATAAATATTTTTAAAATATCTGTCATATTACTTATTTTTCAGGAAAATATTTTTATCGGCACCAAATACACCTTAAGTTAAAATTCTAGGTAGGATATTTTTTTGTATCTTTGTCTACACCACTATCAATAAAAGCTACTTGATGTGAGACAATTTCCCCTCTTTTTTTTCTTTTCCACTTCACTTATTTAACAAAAATAAAATATTTTTTTATGGATGGAAAGAAAATGGTTGAACCACTTGGTTGTGTTTTAAGCCATTGTTTTTCAAGTGGCATATTATAGGTCTAGAATTTCACTTATTATAATTTTTTGTTGCTATTAGTCTTATACCAGACAAATGGCTCCCTACCAAAAAGCACAAACAACATATAAATTTTAAAAAAGACAACTGGAACTTTGCTACCTCTAAATATATATATGTGTCCCATCAATGATAAAGGTCGTGGTAGAGTAATAAGTATTTTTTTTATCTTTAATCAGAGATTTTAAGTTTTGAGTCTTCCTTGTTTTTGTTAGGGAGCGCTTTATCCCTCAATTTGGAATTTTCCGACTTGAATTTTAATTTAGTTGGAGACCAAATGTGTGTACTAAACACTGGGCGAGAAATTAGAAAAACAAGTTAATCATTGTACTACCTCTTTATGCGATATATTTTTCTTTTTAATTCATTTCAAAAAAATATTACTTCACTATAATTTGAAATAATATTTCATTTTTTAGCATTAATAAAATAATTTATACCAATATAAATGGTCATGAAGTATTTAGACTATAATTTTTTAATTTTTTTTTTATAAAATCAAATGCTGCCACGTAGAAAATTCTTATAATTTTAATGATTGGTGATGGACAAGTTACTAATTTATTTTATATTTTATATTTTCTTTTCTTTTTTTCTTTTTGGTGAATCTGCTTTATGTCTGTTGGAATGAAAACAAATGGAAGGGTGCAAGCTGGCAATCTAATCTTCTTTTCTTTAAAAAAAGAAAAGTGACAGTATTAAATATTAATATATGTATATATAATTTATTTTTTAAACTGCGCAGGAATATGAACAAAACACGTGCATCCAAACACTCGCAAATGCCTATTATAGTACTGCCCCAGTAAGAAGTTCGTGAGGTGCCGCTGCAGCTTGGATTATCGTACCTCTAATTTTCAAAAGAAGCTCAGATTTATTTTTGAATATTCGAAACTTCAGCTTATAAAACTTCGTAAAAAAAATCATTAAAATACATGTCAAATATAATTTTAAATTCTATAAATAAAAATTTTAAAACACAAAAAGAGAGCTGAGTGTCAATGTCATAAACAAGATGTCCACAAAATATTTATGAAAAAGGCATAAGACGAAGGAAGTATGTAGAAATAATAATAATAATAATAATAATAATGAGTGCACACGTATGGCTAATAATAAAATGCACCAAAATACTGTGTAAAGTGGGAGACAGCTAAGCAATGAGCAAACACACACGTTTCTAAAATATGGGGCCCACTATTTTGTCATTGAAATTAGCGACACTTTTTATATGACCTCATCTTCTCATACTCCATTGGCGGCGTGCTTTGTTTTTCTTACGCCACGTGTTTCTTCTATTTGACCTCCAACATCAATAGCGGAGAGCGGTGAAACTACTTCACACTTGTTTAAAAAAATTGAGTTTGAGCTCTAGATATGAAGAAATTCTGTTGGAAGCGTCACTCCTGAATGAGTATTGCATAGGTAATCTAAATTTAATTGGGGCTTCAAATTAAATTGCAAATATTGA